AAACGAATAAAAACCCTTTTGTATCAGTTTCTTCTTTAAGATATGTAAGATATCTATTCCGAGTGTTTTCCGACTCATTTGGTACGTTAATTACCATAATATTCATTTAAACTCCAGTTACGTCTTATGGTAAATATTCAATGTAATTTACACAATGTGTGGGATATAATAAAAAGCAAAGATAAAAACATTCATGTACTTAATTAGATTTGTATACGTAAACACCGATAGGTTTGCTACCCCCGTTCAATGATCAAAGTTTTACAAAACAGCTGGATTTCATTTGAAACAAAAAAATTGATTCAGTCCAAAAAGACAGGCCGCACCATTCCAAGTCTGTAGGTGAATTACCAGGCAACAAGTCGCACCGCCCCCCTCCCTTTCTGGCTTTTTTCAATCGTCTCGACTGAAGCTGGTATAATCACGTTGCCCTCGGATTCATTGCACGTAAGTAAGAGTACGAAAAAAACTTGCATTGCCTCAAGCTCACAAGTTCTCCGCTTGCCTTTTCGAAGGGAAAGATTCTAACTGACATGCATGAAGTGTCTACTTTAAACAAACCTTGGAGGAAGATACGAGTGATATAACTGAGCCACAGGTACTCTATGATGGGTAATGGCCGATACCAGATTCATACGTGATATGCTTCCTAACTACAGCTAAGTTCAGCAATGTCGAAATAAACATGTGAACCATCAGTAGATCGACAAGTATGGGGAATTGTTAAGCCGGGATATGAGGTAGACAAAGATGTATGCAGGACGCGTGTATGCTGGTACTATATTCCTCAAGAGGACTCAAACACTTTCTATTTGTCCCACGCTCACGCCGAAATAAAAAAATCCTTTTCTATTTCATAACTAATCTTAAAAAATTACAATCTTTTTTCTTTCATTTCTGTGACGATATTGCATTGTCTTAGCGTCCAATCAGATTTCAGTATTTACACGTGTGCGCCAACTTGACTTATACTCTCGGGTTTTTATCGTCATGGCCGCTTGTGAGTTGATTGTGCGTTCACAATGTTCTAATTAAACGAGTTGAAGTTTGAGAACGCGAGCCAATTCTTTATAATTTCAAAAGCTTCTAGAGAGACCAGGAGAATGACGATATTTCTAAAAGAGGAACTAAGAAACCGGTCATTTGTAATTGCCTGGATTAGGAGAGAGGAGGCGGAAGAAAAGGGTTTTGGTTGTGTTGCGATACAGTGTAATATCCTAAGCCCCAATCCTCCTTCGCCGTCAATTGATAGTAAATTTTCGAAGACTGACTCCCCCTCCGTTTCTCATGTCACCTCATGTCTGGTCCTTTGGGAAATGCTTTCCTCGAATTTCAAGTATCAAGACTCTTCGAAAACGAAAACAAAGTATTCCTTGGGACGAATCGCCAAGGCTTTTTATATAGCACGTGTTCTCGATGCACCGGGTGTTTCCTCATGACTTAAATCTGAACGAAATAATTCTGGCTTTGCATAAATCGCTAGTCAAAGTTATCTATGTCCTACACATTGCCAGTTACTTCTCTCATGAAAAACTGCAATATTATTTTTT